GATATGCAGTTTGGACCCAGTGTTTTTACCAAAGTGGACTAAGCCTCATAGTCTTTAGATGCCTGAAACCATGGGAAGAAAGTTGGAGTTTCAGAGGGCCAGGCCACCAATTTGTTGCCAGTCACCAGGTCTGCCTGATTCTCCAGGACTGTCTGGATTTCAGTGCCTGAGGTCTTATCCTGGGAAGGACCACTGGTACACCTGCCTTCTGGCAGAGGGCTCTCTGCCCACTAACCTCTCCCAGGGTTCAGGCTAACACTCAGGTGTCTGTGGCCACCTTCTTCCACTGAATCAAATAAAATATCCGCAGCATTCTGAGGGATACTTAGAAGAACTCAAGAGCAGCTAGGAAATGCCCTCCAGGAGGGAATGGCCTCCTGTGTAATGTCTGTAAATGGTCATCCTCCAAATCAATGGTGGTGTCTTAATCACCACAAAAGGAAAAAGAAGCAACACTGTCTAATTGCTACAAATATCAGACCTTGTGACCCAGAGACACACGTGTGCACACTGCCAAGCATTAAGTCATCTTTCTACACCTGTCAGGGCATGAGAAAATAAAAAGGGCGGCAGGAACAGGATGTCCAGCATCAGAGAGAAGGGCAAAGAAGGAAGAATCTCATAACTCCATGATAAGGAAAAAAAAAGCAAACACGTATTTAGCTGTTTTGGAAAATACATAAATATGACATTTCCCAGAAGTTAAAGGAAGGTCAGCTTAAAACATGCATACACTTCAGACCCTGTCCTCACTCCTAATCTGAAAGATTCCTTTAACATAAAGGGATTGGGGTGTGCCAGTTTGGGTCAAACAATCCCCCAGACCTGTCTATTTTAAACTTAGAAAGAAACAGAAGCGTCACAGATCCTCCCAGTGGGCTCAACCAGACATTCCCTTTGCCAGTGCCTCTCTGACTACCCTTGACCTCCCTTCCCTGTGAAACCTCCTACAAGACAAAGATGGGAAGCAGACCTCATATCCTTTAGGAATACCAGGGACTCTCACAACTTTCCCAGGTTTTAGGAAAAGTAGGAAGGAACCCATTTACGAACCTCTTTGCTCTGGGAAAGGATTTTTGTCTTCTTTTCTATAGACCACTCATTACTTTTTCTTTACATAGACATATGTCCGGGGCCACCTTCTCCCATTCCCCATGGAGACCTGCTTGAGTCCACACAGAATTTACAAAAATTAAAATAAGTGCTGTAGTTTATGAGACTTCGAAGATTAGGACTTGAAATGAACGGGCTCTGGGTTTATAATCACGATGACGAAGACTTTTCCTTTGGCCTCAAAGACTGTCAACCATGAGAATGGTAGCTGGGATTGATTCTGACCCTGGCATTTTCCTACCCTGATATTGGTCATGTTCTCCTCCCTGACTTTTAAGCATGAGTATGGGAACTGTTGATGGTAGGAAGGAGAAAGAACTCTGAAATGATTGGTGGAAAGGGGAAAGCATGGACCTTCCTAGAAAAGCAAAGGAGTTTCACCAGAGCAACAGTAATAGTAATACAGCATGCGATTCGGAATGCTCTTCCTGATTTAGTACTTGACCTTCTCAAGAAGGGGCTACATTAAGGTTTCCTCAAGGTGCCTTGGCAACCACAGTCAGATGTGTTGAGACAGGTACAGATTAGTTGAGACAGGCCTAGGGAGAAAGAGGAAAGCACTTTCTTGGCAGTTATCTTAGACCAGCTTTACTAGAAGTAGAGTCTGACACAAAGATTTTTGTGCCATGATTTATTGAGGCTAAGAACCCAGGAGAAGTAAGAGAAGCAGGAAGGGGCACTGAAAGAGTTAAGCAAACCTGTAGTTTGGGAGAGGTCTAGCCTCAGTCTGGTCTCACAGGAAGCTCTGTAGTCTGAATTGTACCACGGTGATCCTACCAACAGCCAAGAGAGTTGGTTTGTTAAACTCCCACATTAATTTGTCATTGGCTACAGGCTTCCCCTGAGGATGAGGCTGTCATGTCCGGGAATTTCCAGGCTGGGCAGCTCCCATCAGCCAAGGGCAACCCCCCAGAGGAGGGTGAAGGTGTGAGCCCTTATGATTCAACATCTGTGGCAGCTGGGGTCTGCTGGTCTTGGCTTGATAAAGGGGAACCAGGCAGGGACCAACCACAACTTCTACAGTAGCCAAAGTAATTGGAAAAAAGAGTCTGTGGACTGTATGTTGCCTAAGGAGCAACTTGTATCATATACACATTCTGTCCTATCCTATTAAATTGTAGTATTATAATACACATACCTCAAAGCATGGCACTAACAGGGCACCATATATTTGATTAGCTTGGATTGTAAGATAAATCTGGAGAGGAACATGGAGGTCCTTCAGTTCAGTCTGTCAAACCGGGCTCAATGGCTCAGCCTGTAATCCCATGCCTTTGATAGGCTGAGATGAGTGGATTGCCTCAGCCCGCGGGTTCGAGACCCACCTGGGCAGCTTGGCTAGACCTCATCTCTACAATAAATCAAAAAATTAGCTGGGTGTGGCAGCGCGCGCCTGTAGTTCCAGTTACTTGGAATTCTGAGGCAGAAGGATCGCCGGAGTCCAGCAGATCGAGGCTGCGGTGGTCGGGAGCGTGCCCCTGCCCTCCAGCCTGGAGTGAGACTCCAACTCAAAAAAAAATAAGAAGTGGGAAGTCAGAATAAACTCTTACTGGGAACCAGATCTGATTTCCAATCTTTTATTTTGCTTGAGTTCTGCCCACCTCATGTTTGTCGAATGCCTACTATGTACAAGGCACAGGCTTAGGCATTGAGCAGAGAATTGAAAGATGCAAAACTCAGTCTCTGCCTCCTGCCTTAGGGATTTACAGTCCAGTGGAAGATGGGGAACAGAAGAAAGAAATTAGATGTGTAAATATTATGCAGATCCAAATTCAGATCTCACCCTAAGAGCAGTATGGATTAAATGCTTGACCTCTTGAAGGCAAAAGTAGACACAGAAGGATAGTCTGTGCTTGTCTCAATGCGAAGGGAGGATTCCATCCCAAATTTCCGTGTATTTAAAACTATCAAAAAAGAAAATTTCCTGGCAGCTCTTCTTCTTGGGTGAGGCTGAAGAAGACAAATATGCAAGTAGGGTTCTGGGAAAGGAGAAAAAAAGAAAACAAACACAGAACAAAAATGGGCCATCCCTTTTCAAAATGTCATCTTACCATGAAAGTTTCTTCAATTCTTAGTGTAGAAGGGCAAATTGTAGAGAGTTCTACGCATTACACAAGATTATTTGGGAACTAAAGGCCAAAGGTCCTACTTACTTTGGAGAAAAATGTTGAATCGAGCCCATTCTTCCTTTTAGCTCAGTCATGTTTTTAGTACTGCGGCGTTTTCTGTCTTCTAAATTGCTCCGTGCTCCACTGACATGTAGATTAGTCTGATCATTTAAATTAGCTTCTTGCGTGAATATTCACCAGAGTTTATGGATTGCTACTTTGAACAGGATCTGAGATTCATTTGTTCATTCATTCATTTACTCAAAAAGGTCTTTACTGAGAGCCTATTGTATGAGAGGCTCTTCGTTGGCACTAGAAGTACAAGAATGAGAAAAGGACTCTGAATGTTCCCGCCAAATATGCATATAGTCAAGTTGGGTGAGACAGATAAGCAGGTGAATGTATTAAAATATGATACATGCTGAAATAGAGCTCTGCCCAGGACACCTAAGACTGACTCTAGGGATGTTCAAAAAAGTGTCTATGAAGAAATTGACCTTAGTTGAAACCCAAAACCCTAGTGAAGGCTTTTATCGTTTTTTATTATTTTCATTATAGCATATACCATTGAAAGAAAATTATCTTTTAAAAATTTTGTTGATGTTATTGTTATTCTGTCCCCTCTGTCATTCCACTAAAACAGCATTTCTAAGCCTTTTTTCATCAGTGCTATCGTAAGGAGCCTTTGTAGACTATTTTTTTCCTAATCGCTACTCTTGTGATTTTTTTTCTGCAGTAAAATATACGTAATATAAAAATTACCATCTTAATCAGTGTTCAGTTTTAAGTGTTCGGTTTACTGGCATTAAGTACATTCACAATTCTGTAAGACCATCACCATTATCATTTTTCTTTTCTTTTCTTTTTTTTTTTTTTGAGTCACCCAGGCTGGAGTGCAGTGGCATGCTCATGACCACTGCAGCCTCGACCTGCTGGGCTCAGGCGATCCTTCCACCTCAGCATTTCAAGTAGCTGGAACCATAGGTGTGTGCCACCACACCCAGCTAATTTTTTCTTTATTGTAGAGACGAAGTCTCACCAAATTGCGCAGGCTGGTCTTGAATCCCTGGACACAGACAGTCCTCTCACCTCTGCCTCCCAAAGTGCTGGGATTACAGGTGTGAGCCACCGCGCCCAGCCATCCTTATCATTTTTCTATAACTTTTTCATTTTCTCAACTGAAACTCTTGACCCATTAAAGGATACCCCCCCATTCTCCCTTGCCCCGACCATCTACTGTCTCTATGAATTTGCCTGTTCACATCCTATAAGTAGAAACATACAATATTTGTCCTTTTGTCTGACTTATTTCACTTGGCATGTTGTCTTCAAGTTCATCCATGTCGTAGCATGTGCCAGAATTTCATTTATTTTTACGGCTGAGTATCTCTGTGAAATTTAACACCACATATTAAATCTATGTTTGCGCTACTGGCCTTTGGAGGACCACAAACCTTTGTAATATTTAGGGTTTGTTTAACCTCCCAAGAACCAAAATCCCTATGTAGAGAATGCCCGTGTTAAAATGTAAACTCTCTGACCCTGTCTGTCATGTTACCTGCTCTGTCCCTAGCTGTGAGCACAAGACCTAGAGCATAGGAAGCACTCCACCACCATTTGTTGAAATTTCTTAGGCTCTTTTCATTATTAAAAATGGCCTCACAGATGTACTTTGACACTCAAGGCCTCCTGCTGCCCAGCCATGCGTCTCAACACACTCATTTCCCTCGGCTGCACACACATTCTCAGTGACCCTGTGTCTGCCTGTTTTCTTCACAGAAGTAAAAGATTATGAACCTCCATTTGGTTCCAAGGTGCGGGAGCACCCCTGTGTCGAGAGCATGAAGGACAACGTGTTGAGAGATAGGGGACGACCAGAAATCCCCAGCTTCTGGCTGAACCACCAGGTACGGAGTGACTGTTTAGAAGCATGAAAAGATTCACCTGAAGTAGCCTCTTAGGTGGGAGAGAATTCTGGAATATTGAGTGTAAATCTGCAGGAAGGTCCCTTTATGTTCTGTGACCCTGTTAGGTTTTATTTATAAAGAAAATTTCAATAAAGTGGATGACCGTATTGAGTTCCAATCAGCGGGTATACACAGCATTCACTGAGCTCACACATAATTATTTAGGGGATATTTGCCACATCTTCCAAGCCCCTTTGGATGTGGGTTAAAATACCTTGTTGGGCAACCCCCTTGGGTCCCCTCCCACTGTGGGAGTTTTTCCTGTCCTCTCAATAAATCCTGCTTTCAAAAAAAAAAAAATAGCTTGTTTGCAGCCTCTGCTGCTCACTCCCATGCCTTCACATCAGGAGTTTATGCTTCATCCCCTCTGGATTCCAAATGTTTTCTTCTGGGAAGCCTCAGCTCCGGAAGGAAATACTTAGCAGATGCAAAACAAGCAGGGTTTGTCAGGCAGCTGGACTGAGAAGCGACTGTGGCGTGCAGAGGGCCATGTGCAGGTGTCTGCAGGCTGTTCACAGATATGGGAGGAGCCCGCAGGAGCACGGGTGGGAAAGAGGACACTGGCTCCTCACTCAGGAATGAAGGGACGTGAAGAAGAGAATGCCTGGGGAGGAACAGAAAGCCTGTCTGTTGGAAACATTCTGATGTCTTTCTTTTTATTTGTCAAGAATTGGTAGCTGAGGCCGTCCACAGGAAGGTGGTGGTTCTGGACTCACAGAGAGGCCCCTTCAAATTCTTTGTTTGGATGCACTTGAGTGAGGGTGATGGTCAGAGGAAAAGAAGAGAATGAAAACGATAGATTGTGAGTGAGAGAAACTAGCCACATGTCTGACACACCCAGGAAAAGAGCCCTCAGGAAAGAATGAGAGAGAACAGTGTACTCCTATCTCACTGACAAAACCGTTCTTTTATTGACTGAAACCTTTTTATAGGCGCTTTTAGAAGAATTCTCTCATCCATGAAGGCTGAGGCTAAGTCGTAGGTTTTCCTAAGGGCAAGGCAAATTCAGATAAGAAACAGAAACAACAAATCAGTCGCAATCAGGAAGACAAATGGGGCAGGAAGCCTGGTCTGTGCCAGTCCTGGCTCAGAGCCACCTCCGCCAACAGACCTTCATAAAGTTGGGGGCAGGGGACAGTGGTGAACCAGGCTGTGGTACATTATGGGCTTCTCAGGGTTTCAGGCAAATCTTCTTTGACTCTAAAAATGCAAGGCTGTTTTGCATAAGCTCTGAAATCAGAAGGTACTAGAGTGTTATGTTTCTTTCAAAGTCTGTTGGCTCCTCTGCTGTACAAGTCTTGTAATGAAGCCATTATTCATGATGATAAAATTCTGGAAAGAATTTGCATAATACATTTTTTTCTCATAATGAGATTTGTTGCCCTATTGATTTCAAGTTAATGCTTAATATTTAATTTAATTTACTGCCTGTAATTACAGTGCCAGAATAAAATAAATGTTACTTGTGTACCAACAATAACAATCTACTCTTAACGGGACCATCAATCAATACCGTCAATTAGACGAATTATGCAATTAATTGAACATAATGAACTCACAGGGTGGGCAGGGAGGAGATACTGCGAGGTGTGTTGGTATGAGAAGGCAAGGAGGGAAGGTGCCAGTTCTCCCAGGCAGTGTTGGAATTTTTGGTCTGTCCTTCCCAGCCACCTGGGTGAAGGATCCCAGTTGGCAATGTCAGTTCTCTCACTGGGAGGAACACACTCTGGTTCCACCTATCAGACCCTCTGTTTAACTCTTGCCTGTTTTTTGTCCAATAAGGACATGCCATGGTAAGAGAAAATACTTTCAATGCAAAATGAAAATTAAGCCAACGAGAGAAAACTCCAGCTACCTTCCTGGGCAAGATTTCCAGGACGGGTTCATTGAATGGGGACTCTGTGGACTTAGGGTGAACCCTATGAAATGGCCTATAGTCAAGCACGCCTGACCTAGAAAGACAGCTGGGTCACAGAGTCCAGCCTGATGTTAGTGGAGAGGAATGGGGCACCACAGAGGTCCTCCTTGACCGCTCTTAGAAGCTGCCATTGAATCACTCCATGAAACATGTGAACTTTACAAAATGAAATCAGGCTGTTGCCTGTGTATCACTCTGACTGGGGTATTCAGCCTGTTCAAATACAGTGGTGTGGATGATCCAGGTATATGACATTCTGGAAAAGGCAAAGCTACACAGGCAGTAAAAGGATCAGTGGTTGCCAGGAATTCAGGGGCACGAAGGGAGGGATGAATAGATGGAATGCAGGAGATCTTAAAAATTATTTTTATTATTATGTTTTTTTAAGAGAAAGGGTATCACTCTGTTGCCAAGGCAGGAGTGCAGTGATGCCATCATAGTTGACTAGCCTAAAACTCCTGGGCTCAAGCAATCCTCTCACCTCAGCATCCCAAGGAGCTAGGACTACAAGAGTGCGCCACCAAACCCAACTATTTTTTTTGTGTGTAAAGACAGGGTCCCACTGTGATGCCCAGGCTGGTTTTCAACTCCTGGCCTCAAGTGATCCTCTTGTCTCGGCCTCCCAAAGCACTGGGATTACAGGCATGAGCCACCTCATTTGACCAGATTTTTTTTTTTTGAGTTGGAGTCTCACTCTGTTATCCAGGCTGGAGTGCAATAGCATATTCACGGCCATCCCAGCATCGACCCATGGGGCAACGGTGATCCTTCCACCTCAACCTTCCAAGTGGCTGGAACTACAGGCGCATGTTACCATGCCTGGCTAATTTTTTACTTATTGTAGAGACGAGGTCTCACCAAGTTGCCCGGGCTGGTCTCAAGCCCGTGGGCTCAAGCAATCCACTCGCCTCGGCCTCCCAAAGTGCTGATTATAGGCTGAGCCATTGAGCCTGGCCTTGGGCAGATTTTTAGGGCAGAGAATCTATTCTGTAGGATACCATAATGGTGGCTATAATGTCATTATACATTTGTCAAACCCGATAGAATGTACAACACCAAGCGTGAACCTTAATGTGAACTGTGAACTCAGGTTGAAAACGCTGTGTCGATGATAGTTCATTGACTATAACAAATATACCACAAAGATACAGGTTATTGAGGTGAGAGAGACTATGCCTATGTGGGGAGGGTGTTTTGCTGGGAACCTAAAACTATTCTAAGTAAAAGAGAAGGGTGTGAAAATGGTATCAGGGCCACTTTGTGGGGGGATTTTCAAATTTGGGGGGTGTTACCATGTCCCAGAAGCCCAGCAGAGGGTCTTTGTGCTATCAGGACCTACTGTGATCAAATAGCACCAGAGCAAACAGGCATGGCAGGTTTTGAGGGCAGCTGCCCCCTGAACAGGCCCCTCTTTCCACATGGAACTGGTTGACCTCATGCAGCGAGCAGTCAGTGTGTGTTCAGAGCCCAGGCTTTCTCGGATCCAGCCTGCACTGTAGGGACAAGGCCAGCAGACCACCTTGCCCACTGCAGAACCCACCAAACTCACAGTGCTCTCTGGAACTCTCTCCCACTACAGGGCATCCAGATGGTGTGTGAGACCCTGACCGAGTGCTGGGACCATGACCCAGAGGCCCGTCTCACAGCCCAGTGTGTGGCAGAACGTTTCAGCGAGTTGGAGCACCTGGACAGGCTCTCGGGGAGGAGCTGCTCCGAGGAGAAGATTCCAGAAGATGGCTCCCTGAACACTACCAAATAGCTCTTCCGGGGCAGGCTGGACCACGTCCAAAGAGACCTCCCCTCTCACCAAAGAACAGAGGCAGCAGGAAGCTGCCCCTGAACTGATGCTTCCTACAAAACCAAGGGGGTCACTCCTGTCCCTGTAAGCTGTGGCATGAGCAGAACCGACAGCAGCCGGGAGTGGGTGACATAAAGCATTCTATGCCTTTGACATTGTCATGGGTTAAGCTGTGTTAGCACTTCCTCAGGAAATGAGATTGATTTTTACAATAGCTAATAACATTTGCACTTTATTAATGCCTGTATATAAATATGGGATAGCTATGTTTTATATATATCTATATGTGTCTATATCTATATATAGCCATACTCTGAAAAGAGATGAGGAAAAAGATCAAATATGCCCAGGAAATTGGTTTTATTGGAGAGCTCCAGGACCGAGCAGAGAATGAGGAGACCCATGATGCCATCAGCGCTTGACAATCACACATGGGATGGTTCTCTGACTGTATGAGGGTGCCTTGGCGTCAGGAGAGAGGCTCTGTGTCTCAGAGCCGGCCGTGGCCACATCGCATTTGTCTTTGCAAAATAATCATTCCGGAAGGGGTTTCTCTTCTGGCCATGGAACTGAGTGCAGTGGCTCTGTTTGAGGACAAGTGTTCCTGGACTTCCTGTGTGTCCTTGTCTCTCCTGGCCTTTTCGCTTGAGCTCCAAGCCCCACTTCTGATTTGGGAACCACCTTCCTCAACCTAGGTTAGAAACTCTGCCCCATCTCTAATAACCTGAACTTTCTAAGCCTCGTTCTGTACCTTCACGGGCTGCAGAAAAATCAGAAGGGCAGATTCCCCACACGTGAAGTCGCCACACCGTCTACTAATGAGAGATGGTTCTTTTTTTCAGCTTCTCCTGATACCTGTGTGGACTGTTCTCTGTTCCCAGCCTTCATCCTTTCTTAAAAGGGAGCAGACCCCTCCTCTGGGTTCATCGTGTTTAATTTTTTATCACACTTGGCCTGAGTCTCTAACTTTCTATGCAAACACCCATGGGCTCCATCTCCGGGCTCCGGGATGCTCAAGCACATTTTGGCCTAGTGGAAAGGATTTGAACGACATGCACCGCCAGTGTCAGGCCTGTGTCTTTCTCAGGCACTCTGAACACATGCTTGCCTTGGCCAGCACAGCGTTTAAAAAAGTTAAGCCACTTTTTAAATATTTGGAGATTTCGCAGAAAAATCCAGGTCCCCAGGTAAGGATGGCAGATGATTTCCAGTTCTTTCCTGTCCACACACTTAGAAAGCTGCTTTACTTCTCACTGTAAACACTTGTTCTTTCTACTGCCCTTCCCTAGTCTGGGAATTAAACCTGCCCCAAACCAAGGTTCCTTGGAAGAACTGCATATTCAAGCAGTCATTCTCTGGCTTTGTCATATGATTTTGACTACCTTATTTAGTGTTAAATTTGAAGCTGGCCTTTTATTGGACTAAAGGGACCTGCTTTAAGGGATCCCAGTTATCCCAAATGTCTTTTGCTCATAGGTCAGTAGTTTTTCCTCTGCACTGGGGAGGCGAGCTCTTTACTCTGAGATGCTCTCCTCTCCACCACCCCAGCCTTCCCAGCCTTTGCAGAAATTGCTAGCAAGGACTTGAACTTGGGGTACAAGAGTCCCATTTGCAGTTAGGAAATCTTTGTCCACATGGACAAGAACAAAGAATGAGCTTTAATACTTCATAGGAAACTTGTAAATCCACAAACAGGTGTTAATGCTGCAAGTAATCTCTTTTTTAAAACATGTTTTTTGAAGCTACTTATTTTCAACCAAATAGGAATCTTAGAGCAGAACTGGCAGTGAGCAAATCAGCTCTATTTGGGTTTCGGAAGGTCTCATTTCACTGAGGTTTTAGGATACAAGCAGAAGTTTGGAATTAGGAGGAACCCTCTAGACACCCTGTTTAGTGTGGGTGAGCTCAGAGTTAAAGAGAATTTGCCTGCGGTACCACAGAAGTGCCTAGACATTTCATTTACACCTTAGGGCTTGCTGATGACATCCCAATAGCTGTTGCTCATTGACCTCTAGTGGTGAATTTCTAGAATACTGGTCCTTTAATGGGATCTTCCAAGATTCAAGAGTATTATCCCTTCTGGGTTATCATCAGCGTAAACTGGAATGTAGTGTCAAATGATACTGTGGTTTGTTTTGCTTATTTTTTTTGTCTTATTCAAGAAAAAGACCAAGGAATAACATTCTGTAGTTCCTAAAAATACTGACTTTTTTCACTACTATACATAAAGGGAAAGTTTTATTCTTTTATGGAACACATCAGCTATACTCATGTATTAAAATAGGAATGTGAATGCTGTATACTCTTTTTTATATCAAAAATCTCAAGCACTTATTTTCATTCTATGCATTGTTTGTCTTTTATATAAATAAAATGTTTATTAGATTGAATAAAGCAGAAATACTCAGGTGAGCTTCTGCCTCTGTTCCTGTTTCTAGTAGTTAAGCCCATTTGTGCAGCAAACGTCACTGGACAAATCTTTCCCCTACTTTTCAAACTGTATTGTCTTCTTTAGATGACAGTCTCAAGTCCCTTTAAAAAAAAAAAAAAAGCAGTCTCAAAAGTTCAATAATATAAGATGAAGCAGATGATGCTGGTGGCCTAGCCCTTTTCCCTTATCTCAGTGTCATGACACCCTATCTCTCTGTGTGCCAACATGGCTTCTCTCCACAGTCCCAGGTGCTGCCTCTACTCACATGGCTGTTTCTTCCAGGGATGTTCAGAGTCGAGGCTTCTGCTAAGAGCTTATGACTACGTCTGTTTTCTCCACTCATGTGACGCTGTTGGCTATCTTTTTTTTTGTTGTTTTTTTTTTTTGAGAAAGCAGGATTTATTGAGAAGACAGAAAAGCTCTCACAGTGGGAGGGGACCCCAAGGGGTCACCAGGCTCTCTCTTTGACTCATCACGTTCCATGCATTTCTATGCCTCGCTAGTCAGTCACCGCAACCCATCTGGTGTTTTGAATCAACTTACCAGAATGGCGAGATGAATGTGCCTTAGGAGGCTGGCTCCAGATCATTGGCTGCACTTCAATCTGCCCATTTCGGAATCAGAGATTCTGTGGCTTCTTCTGAGTTACCAGCTGGATTCCACATAGTGCAGGTTCTAAATAGTTAATGTAGTAGTGCCTTCATCTGCGTTTCTCAGCCTTGGCACTGCTGACATTTTGCGTTGGGTAATTCTTCATTGGGAGGAGGAGACCACCCCACAGGGACAACCAAACATTTCTCTAGACATTATCCTATGTCTCTGGAAGACAAAATGCCTCTTAGTTGAGAATCACTGAGCTAGATGATGTGGACCTACTGTGGGCATGAGTTATAGTCCTATCTTAACTAGGAGCAATTTTAGTGGTTACTAATTTTAGTGATTGCCCACTCCTCTATTTGCCAGCTGTGTGATCTGGAGAAACTATTTAACCTCTTTTTTTTTTTGAAGTTGGAGTCTCATTCCATTGCCCAGGCTGGAGTGCAGTGGCATGCTCATGGCCACCCCAGTATCAACCTGCTGGGTTCTGGCAGTTCTTCCACCTCAGCCTTCCAAGTAGCTGGAACTACAGGCATGTGCCATGCGCCACCACACCCAGCTAATTTTTTTGATTTATTGTAGAGATAAGTTCTCGCCAAGTTGCCCTGGCTGATCTCGAACCCGTGGGCTCAGGCAAACCTCTCTTCTCGGCCTCCCAAAGTGCTGGGATTATAGGTGGGAGCCACTGCGTCCAGCTCCTTAACCTCTTTATGCTTCAGTTTCACCATGTATAAAATGGAATTTTACAAGCCTCATTCTACACAAGATACCATTGTGATAAGGAATACACATAAGGCTTTTGGAGTTGGGTCTTGAACTTGGAAAGCCTTCAATACATGCTGGCTCATTTTAAGTCAGTTTAATATGCCAAGGGCTGTCAGGCAATGAGGTAGATTTTAAAGTAAATCCTAGAAAGCGTTAACAGAGAAGGCATATTCTCCCAGCCTGTATGACGGGAAAGTTTCTGTCCTGTGTGAGTACTGATACTCCTAGGAGAACACTCATTCACCAAGTACCCGCAATATTGTCAGAACACATTCTGCACTAGCTCCGAGGTAGTTATTATGCCCATTTCACAGAGGAGGGGTCAGGTGGTCAGGGAGCTGAAGCATGAAGACCAGGATAAGAACAAGGTAAAATCTGGGTGCAAAGCCAAGTTGTCCTGGAGCTGGAATTTGTAATGCCTAAAATGTTTGCTTGGTTCTCTTTTCCTTTTTTCTTTTCTTTTTTTTTGAGTTAGAGTCTCACTCTTGTCGCCCAGGCTGGAGTGCAGTGGCACGCTCACAGCCACTGCAGCCTTGACCTGGCGGGCTCAAGGGATCCTTCTGCCTCAGCCTTCCAAGTAGCTGCAACTATAGATGCATGCCACCACACCTGACTAGTTTTTGTGATTTATTGTAGAGACGAGGTCTCACCATGTTACCCTGGCTGGTCTCAAAGCCCCAGGCTCAGGCAATCCTCTCACCTCGGCCTCCCAAAGTGCTGGGATGACAGGCTGAGTCACTGCATGTGGCCGCTTGTTTGGTTTTCATGCTGTCTCCTGAGGGAATGGAACTGCCTTAGCCGGTTAAAAAGACCACCCCATAAGGAAACTTCTCACTACATCATCGTTTTCCCCTCTCTGGGTATCTCTGCTCAATGGAGCCAGGAAAGATGCTTTTCTGCCTTTTTTTGCCCAACTTGCTCTCCACTTCATGTTAAATGTTGTCTAGATGCGTGCTGAGAGACAGATGGACCGGAAGGTGAGTCAATGTGTGTAGACAGTGTTTCCTAACATCTGAGATGATTTCGGATCGCGCCAACCTTTAAAAACATTGTATTTTTAAAAAATTATTTTTATCTTAACATGTGTTGGAAAAAAAATCAACACAGTAAGCCTGGCCTTTCACAAATAATATTGCTTGAAATATGGCATATGGCCTAGTTTACACAATTGAATTGATTTTTTAAAAAATACCTTAAGTAGATAACGGTACTTATTTATGGCAACTACAGGTGATATGAATAGGAATGATTGAAGTTATGGAACGCCACTCTAGGAAGTAAATTCATATGAATTGCAAGCATTTATTAAGCACTCGTTAAATGCCAACCACTATTCTCAGTGTTTGACCTTTGTTATCTGCTGTAATCCTCACAACAGTCCTTTGTGTAGCTAACCTCCGTTTCATAGATAAGGAAACTGAGGCAGACAGTGAGGTCTTGCGAAGGGTCCCAGAGTTAGCAATCGTTAGCAACAGGACTTGAACTGAAGCAGTTGAATTCCAGAGCTCACACTTCCATGTGGAACTCGAGGTGAAGCTGGAGTTAGCGGACAGCTAAGAGGTTCTTCGGGAGGGTTCAAGGGTCTGACTCACTCGTCCAAAATATGGAGGAGGAAAATGCAGTCAGCACTGGAGGTGAGAGGGTTGGCCATGAGAGAGCCAGGGAGGGAAAGTCATTCCTCAAAGACACAAGTCCAAGAGCTTCAGCCAAAACAGGAGTCAAGCTCTTCTAACCCCTGCCCCCTTTCCAGACTGTTTTGCTAGGGTCCTTTCAGTTCTTGCTACTGCAAGGTCAGGAACATTCCCGATTAGCAATTAGTCTCCAAGTGCCCTCAGCAGGGACTCAGGCCCTTGCACCTGTCGACACCCTTTGAGTGCAGGCTCTCTTTGTTCCCAGGCGTTTCTATTTGTGGTGTTTTGTTGTTGTTGTTGTTGTTGTTGTGTTAAGCTCATTGAGCAAATGACATGCTAATGGTCCAGTCCTGAGGGAAATTCCTTCTTCAGGTGACAGGGTGCTTTTCATTTAAACAAGTGTGTCTGTCCTTTTCCACTAAAGCCACCACAGTTGGCATCTGCTTATTTTGTTCATTTTCCTCCTGAAATAGGCTGGCTAATCATTGCTTATCACATTTCCAATTAGTTTCTTTTTTTTTCCTCACTTGAATAATTATAACTCCACACTCTGTGGGTTTGGGGCCATGCCTCTCAGGCCTATTTTGCTAACTGTGCTGATAAAGACAAGATTGTGAACTTGCCCACATTTCATGGCCTGCCAATCAGCCTCGCACAGTGTAATTTAATTCTAATATACCTCCTGATCTTCAGTGCATTTAAAAATAACTTGTTAATAGTCTTCCTATTCTAATTATGCTAAAATTGCACACACTGTGAAATGCTTGCTCTCTCTTACCCCTACACACACACACACACACACACACACACACACAATTGGTCCTTAAAAATCATTTCTTTGTGCACCCTGCATAGCTTAGTGCTTCTGAAATTCTTCTCAAAGTCTTCCCTTGACCTGTGCCTACAGTGATAGACAGCAGAATAAAATAACTGTAGCCATAGTACCCTAAGGTCATCAAAATATTCTTAGTAAAGTGTCTGAATATTCATAATAAAATGGTTAAAATTGGAACCGCCAGAGCCAAATTTCCTTGGTTCAAATATCAGTTCTGCCATTATATGTGTGACTTTGTGCAAGTCTCTTAACCATTTTTTTTTTTTTTTTTTTTTGG